AGTGTTCAGCGACTTTACCGCTCGGCCGCTGGTGGGCGCTATAATCGAGTCATTTTATTGCTATTATAATTCCACGTTTCTCTCAAAACGAATTTTTTCACCCATCAAATAAACCTTAAATTTTGTTTTGTCGTGTTAGTTATATAAATGTATTGAGTAAACCTACTTAAATTTTCTCCAAGATTAAGTGAATTATTAAGAAATGGATTTTGCTTAAAATATACTACATCTTTTTTTTTAAGAATGTTGTTTACTTCAAAAGCATTTTTCCCGTTTTAGAATAAAAATAGATTCACTTGAATTTCTGAATGAATTTGTAATTATCAATGCAAATTTGAAATGAATTTATGAATAAGAAAAATTTTTATGTGTACCTAACTGTGGTCTTGTATTTGAAATCTGTTGTCTTAAGGACTTAAGACAAGATTACTCACCAAAATTGTAATATCGACGATAAAATCTAATATAACAATAATAATAAGTAGTTTTTACAAATAAAATATTTCGACTATGCAATGAGTTTTAGTTGGAAAATCGTCATATTAATAATAATGGAGGGTTTCTCGCTTTTCCCCGTCGAAAAAGTCTTAATCCCTTTGATGAATATTACATTTGTTTATTAGCATACATAGTATCACACCATGCCAAAAAGTGTTATAAATGCTAGCGTATAACATCCATTAGAAACGTTTTATGAATTACTACATTCTAATATACGTATCTGTATTATTCATAATAAATGTATTAAATTTTAGATTACTTTCCAAACAAGATAAAACAGAAAGGAAATTAGTAATATAGATAGATTTTACTTACAGTATATATTAGTTATAGTTATAATCATCATTCTGATATATTAATTTACTCATACGACTGTATATTTTATTTAGACACAATAACACGCCGAATAAATACTAATTCAGAAGTCAAACAACAAAAATCAGCGTTATACCTACAAAATTTTCACAGGACTAGTTTCGATGGTTTTACCGAACTATCAGCCTCAGCTGCAAAACCGCAAATGAACGAGATTGGATATAATGATTAGATAAGATAAGATAAAAAAGCCTGGACAAGGAGATAAGATACTGGCGCCATCTGCTGGCGATGAAACCAGAACTAAAACATAATTTCTTCAGAATCTGAAGGTGAAGATTTGGATTGGAATTAAGGGTCGTTAACTAGAAGAGAAATATATTTTTTTGAATGTGAAATGCCTCTAGAAAATCCAGTTCTCCAATGGTTTCAGCAGCAGATAGCTCCAGTAGCTTATTACCTGAACAGGCTTTTTTATCTTATCAGTTATCTAACCATTATAGCCTATCTCGTTCATCTGCGCTTAAAAAATTGCAGCTGAGGATGATGGTTCAGTAAAACCACACTCTAAACTAGGAGATCCTGTGAAAATTTCTGTTTTCATTCCCTTTTTCCATCAATTAGCTATAAAGCTGCACATATTTGCAGAAATTTAACTTTCGGGGTTTATTCTCCCATCAATAAAAATCCAACTTCTATACTCAAGGACCCCATTCCGGATATGAATTCCTGGGGTATTTATAGGATTCCTTGCCAGTGTGGTTTAATTTACATTGGCAAACTAAGAGGAGCCTTAAAATTTCGCGTCAAAGAACATGAGGCATATGTTAGAAAAAGGAAACACAGAAAGTCTTTGTTGCTCAACATTGTTGGTCCGAAAATCACACTTTCAATTTTTGCTGCCAAAATTATTCAAAAACATCTTCCATGGGAGAACTGGATTTCTAGAGGCATTTCACATTCATAAAAATCTTTTGTTCTAGTTAACGATCCTAATTCCAATCCAAATTTGCCTTCGGCTTTTAGAGAAATTATGTTTTAGTTCTGGTTTCGCCAACAGATGGCGCTACTTGCTTCTTCTTGCAAGGCTTCTTATCTATCTAATCATTATTTCCTATCTTGTTCATTTGCGGTTTTGCAGCTGAAGATGATGGTTCGGTAAAACCATCGAAACTAGTCCTGTGAAAATTTTGTAAGTATAACGCTGATTTTTGTTGTTTACTCTGAATTAGTATTATTCGGCGTGTTATTGTGTCTTAATCATAGAAGCCCCAAAACAGGCTTACATTTTGCTTCTTTTTGCACGTGGTGTGGCCGCCATTTTGTGATTGTAGGAGTTTCGGTGAGTACATTTTGCAATTTTCAAGTTATGTTTATGTTTGTACATTGGGATATGTGCTTTGCTTGTCTGATTCATGCATTTTGCTTACAAACGTTTGTTTTCTATTCATTCAGTGAGGGATTTTCTGTGTTTTGTGTGTACTTTATTATTGCTCAGTTAATTAGTTTGATTTTGCATTGTTTATCATGCCTTCATCGTTAATCGTTTCACTAAATTACGCCTGAAACGGCAAAAATCCTGAATCATCTTGACTTTTTACTTAAACGTAAATGTAAAAAAATTGATCCCCAATTTTATTCAAATCAAATCTAATCAAAAACCTTCGAGTCGCGTTTCAAGAATTCTGTTAAATTGCAAGCTTGCCTTACTTCGGTCCGTGATAAGGGATACACGTCAACAATTGTCCAAAATTGAACATGAACTCTATAAGCTTCATCTGGAACTCGCTAAATCATATCCAAAATTCACTGCCCTTGAACAAAAGTCTTGGTCTAGAACGGAGAATGCAGTTAACCGTCATAAAAACACCCTTGCAGTTAAATTCGAAAAACTTCTTTTACAGTCTTCCAGTTCAAGTAGTTCAAAAAAATCTTCCCATTGTAAATCAAGCCAATAGTTAATATTTCTAATGTTATTCTTCAGAACAAGAGAGAATTCTTAAAATATAATTTTAACTTCTCACAAACCTGTAAACCCTCGATTCCAAAGATTTTGGCTCCTATCGAAAAAAGCTTTCAAGTTCAGTAAAGTTTCAGATTCACAGAAAGAAATGATTAGGCATCTTATCGCTCATAATGTGAAATTCAATAATAAACCTTTGAAACCAAATCTAACTGCGAGAGAGAAAGAGAGCTACAATGCGCGAAATTATTCTAACCCGGATATTATCATTTCAAAGGCCGACAAAGGCGGCCAGATAGTCGTCATGGATAAGAACACTTACATCGATGGTGCACTAAACTCTTAAACGAAGGACCATATAATCCGATCCCTAAAGATCCTTTACCTTCGGACTTATCCAAAATAAAAACTGCGATCAAATCTTCGCAACTCATTTCAAGCAACTTAAAACATCCCATCTGTTGCGAATTGTGCCAGATTATATGCTCTTCCCAAAATTCATAAAAGTGGTATTCCTTTCCGCCCTATTGTATCAAATTTAGGTACTGCCTCGTATCCTTTAGCTAAATATTGGTTCTAGATTTTCCACTCTATTAGACAATAACATTTACACCATAAAAAATTCAATAGAGTTTGTAAAAAAGGTTAAAAACATTTCTCCTAGTAATTTACTCATGGTTTCTTTGATGTAAAAATCATTATTCACCAATGTCCCAGTGGAGGGTGCATTAAGATGTCTAGAAAAACCAGACTTCGCGAATTTCATTTCTCTTGCATCGAAATTGAGGAGCTAATTTCTCTCACTCAACTCTGTTTGAAACAAACACATTTTGTTTTCCAAAATAAATATTACAAACAAACTGAGGGATTAGCCATGGGAAGCCCCCTCAGTCGCATCCTGGCTGATATCTACATGCATTATTATGAATAAAAATTGTTTGAAACTTTAAACTTCCCGACATGGTTCCGCTACGTAGACGATACTTTTACCCTGTTTGAAGGTAATAAAGATGATTTAAATAAAGTTCTTTCAACAATGAATTCTATTGATCCTGCTATTCAGTTCACTTTTGAACTTGAGAGTTGCAATTCTCTTCCGTTTCTCGACATTCTGGTCACACGTAACACATCCAACTTCAGTACTACAGTTTACCGTAAACCTTCATCGGTTTGCCTTCCACCGCACTTTAAATCATGTCATCCGACCTACTAAACAAAAGTTAGCTTCATTTTATTCCTATGTTTTCAGTGCTCTTCAAGTTTGCTCCTCCAATTAGCCCTGATGAAGAACTAAATTATTTAAAAGCAACAGCTATTGACAGGGGGCTTTTCACCCAACATTATTAATCAAGCAGTTAAAAAATTCTCATCTGAACACACTAAAAGCCACACTCTTATTTTAGGAGATTATAAAAAATTCTGTTGTCATTCCCTTCTTTCCATCAATTAGCTATAAAGTTGCACATATTTGCAGAAATTTAACTTCGGGTTGTTTATTCTCCCATCAATAAAATTCCAACTTCTATACTCAAGGACCCCATTCCGGATATGAATTCCTGGGGTATTTATAGGATTCCTTGCCAGTGTGGTTTAATTTACATTGGCCAAAACTAAGAGAGCCTTAAAATTTCGCGTCAAAGAACATGAGGCATATGTTAGAAAAAAGGAAACACAGAAGTCTTCTGTTGCTCAACATTGTTGGTCCGAAAATCACACTTTCAATTTTTCTGCTGCCAAAAATTATTCAAAAAACATCTTCCATTGGAGAACTGGATTTTCTAGAGGCATTTCACATTCATAAAAATCTTTCTGTTCTAGTTAACGATCCTAATTCCAATCCAAATTTGCCTTCGGCTTTTAGAGAGAAATTATGTTTAGTTCTGGTTTCGCCAACAGATGGCGCCACTTGCTTATTCTTGTCCAGGCTTTCTTATCTTATCTAATCATTATTTCCTATCTTGTTCATTTGCGGTTTTGCAGCTGAAGATGATGGTTCGGTAAAACCATCGAAACGAGTCCTGTGAAAATTGTGTAGGTATAACGCTGATGATGTTGTTTGACTTCTGGAATTGTATATTTATTCAATTAATATATATATTAATAGCTATTGATTTTTAATTGTATTACAAGTCATTTACTATTACATCCCTTTAATATTAACCGATTTTATTTATTTAAAATTTTTATACTAAATGAATAAAAAAAAAACTGCTGTTTTTAGATATAACATCAGCTTCTAATATTGTCTTCAGCAATGGAAATTTGGATCCTTGGGCACCTGGAGGAGTAAGTGCACTTTTTTTTTTTTTTTTTAATCTTTTCTTGTATTGTAAATATGTGATAATTTCAATTTTTGCATGTAGTTTTACTTGCATCTATTATATTGTAATGAAAATGTGTGATATTTTAATACTTACCCATTCCTTAAAAAAATAGTATATTTTGTGTCCCTAGTTATGCATTTGATATTGAAACCTTAAATTGTTCAGCTAATAATAATATTTAGTATTAATCTTAAATCAAAACAACAAGACACATTTATCCTGTTAAGTCTGAAAGGCTCACATTACTTTCCTTAAAATAAGTGTAAATTTTAATTGTGGTGTTTTTAAAATTTAATAGGTTCTACAGAATATTTCGGACTCACTCGTTGCAGTTATGGTTGATGGAGGAGCTCATCATTTAGATCTAAGGTAAATTGAGTTTTTTTCTTTAACTTTTTGTTTGCAGGGGTTACAGACGAAAACATCGCGTATGCAAGATGAAACACTGTCATAAATTGAGGAAGAAAAGAAAGTGAAAACATCACAGTGCTGAAACATCTCCGTAGAAAATAAAAAGGTTCAAAAGCTTCGCAATTTTGAAACATCTTCGTAGAAAATTATCGTGGTCAAAAGAAAAAGCACTCACAAATCATGGCATGATCCTTGGGCACATGTTATCGCAGACACATGTTTTCAGATTTTAAAAAAGTTAAATGCATGATCATATAACGAATCGTGATGGCAAGATGGAATGAGAAATATATTTCTACCTCTATATTTCACATTTTTTAATTAACTAGCAACTTTTTATCGAGAAAGTACAAAAAACTTCAACATTCAAGAACTGAAAATAATTAATAATACCTATTGCAGTTAATAGAATTTAAACTTATGTAGCTAACTATTAAAGGTCATTATTTAATCTCTTTTACAAAGTTTGATTTGTGTTGTGAACATGCATTCGACAAACTTTAAGAAATCCTAAAATATACATGTCTGAGATGGTATTATCCGGCGGTGCTTCATTTTTTATTACGGTATTTTCTAAGACAATATTTTAAAACTGAGAAGTTTTTGAACAAATTAATTTTTTACGATGACGTTTTATGCCAAGATGTTTTAAAACTGCGATGTTTTCCCCTTGCTTTCTTTTCTTCCAAGATATTTTGTATAACGATGTTTTCCTCTTGCTCTGCTTTTTCTGCGACATTTTTGGCTGGGATATTTTTGACGGACACCTTTGGAGAGATGTTTTCATATTTTAAAATAACAGTAATACTCCGAAGTTAGGCGATAAGTGGGACTAACAAAAAGTCCTAAGTAAAACGATTGATATAATAAATTGTACGAGAGTTTAAAATGAAATAGATATATGTTTGGGCTTTAAAACGTTTAGAAAAATTTATTAATATTACCAAAGATAGGTTGTTACTAAGAATCTATTTTTTTACTTTATTCCAATAAACTGAGGGAAGATAACTTTCATCTCAATATGGAATGAAAAGGGACAAGAAATTTTGAAAGATCCATTCATGAAACTTTCAGTTTTTATCAATCATTTTTCTGTCGTCTAATAATTAATTCTGGTGATTTCTAAGTGTGAATTCGATGTACTGTTTTCTATTACACGCACTAAGTAACATAATTCTATGAACAGAACATCACGGTTTTTAGTTACTTTTCTCACTTAAACGTTTCAGTTTTGAATGATAAACAAATATTTACTTTTGAATAATTACAAAAAGCACTCAACAAAATTAATTCTTCACATCTGTCGGTACATTTGAGATTCACTTTTTTTTTTTCGGTTTTATACGAGTTTTTATGTAATGTAAATTTTTTTCTTTTTCGGTTTTTGATCTTAAATATACCGGGAGAACGAAACACGTTTCCGAAGCATATTAATCAACTTTTATAAAGCTTTAATTCATTTTCCCCTGATGAGTTCTGAATAAAGTTTGGAGTTTCAATAAAGGGAGATTAATTTTTATTATCTTGTATATAGTTCCCTTTTTGCATTTTTAGTTTTCGAGTTTGTACTACTATGATCATTTTTAATTTGCATTGTTTAGATTTTGTATTTAACCCCTTTACAAGGATGCAGTTATTAATATTGTTGAGGAATTGCCTTGCTTTGATTCCAATTTACTTTTAACTTTAGATGCTTTAGGGTGTCTCAAAAAGTCGTTGCCAATCTTAACATGCTGGTCTGTATTACCATAATAAACAAGATTTACATAAGAACTTGCCTCCGAAACTGCGAGCGGTGACCGCTAGAGGGCAATATTCGCAAGCGTATAGGGAAAGAAAGAAAGACTGTTGAAAGAGGTGTTAATATGACTTTTATTAAAGAACGTGGTTAAATCACAGAAGAAGCTCAAAATTCCTTCCATTCGCCACAATGCCTGGTTCACAGTGTCGATGCATGAATTCACGGACCTGCTCAGAATGGGCAGATGTGTCACGAACACGTGCCACCCCTTCAATGAACCTGGCGATGAGGTCCATGTTCGATGTTCCTGTCTTCTCGCACACCATAGACTTATGTATCGAGGGATCGCGGTAACCATACCACTAGTCCGCCTCTGCCAATCCAGCGATCAGAATATGTCCTATCGAGGTATTTCCGCGCAGTGCTGCTAAAATGTGCAGGCGCTCCATCATGCTGCAGTTGGCATGTAGCTGCTGGAACGTTAACCAACGAATCACACAACACTCTTTCTACAAAATGTCACCTAAAATGTCCATAAAGAACTGAGTTAATAAACCAATTCATCTTTCTCCTACAACGTCCTCGCCTGAAATGATTACACTTCCCACTCTCCCATAAGCCTGCGAACATCGTCCTCTAGTGGTCGCCGTTCGCATTTTCGGACACAAGTTCCCTATGCAAATCTTGTTTGTCATGGTATGACAGACCAGCATGTTAATTTTGGCAACGACCTTTTAAGACACCCTGTTTATATATAATGTAGTAGGAACAATTTCTTCGAAACACATTTTTTCTTTGGTCATTGGAGTGGTACATAACTAGGGGTGCTAAATACGCCCCACATTTTATATACGCAGCTACATTTTGTAATAATAAATTAACACTGAAGAACGGCGACATAGATGCTAGCTAAGCTACACAGCAGGAGAAAAAGTGATGCATACTCCTTGGTAGTCCTAATCGAACACAACTAATCCAACACTCTTATTTCAACACAGCTGAGAATTACGAAGTATATTCGTGAAATAACTGCAAAAGATGATACTAAAAAGTGAAGCATAAGACGAATAATAGTCCAACTAAAATACTGAAGAACGGCCAATCACCAAAATACAGAACAATTGTGGTAGCTTGCTGAGCTGAGACACGTGCAAGAAAGTCAAACTAAATGATGCCGAGAAATACAGAAGTAAAATATAAAATTAAGCTCATACAAAAAAGTCAAGAAAAATTCAAGTACACTTTATAATTAAACAAATTTAATAAACCTATTTTGCGGCATTAAAGAAATCTTCAAAAATAGAAAATAAAATGAACAGTTTATCAATTGAATTTTCCGTAGCATGAATTTCAGGAATTCGATTAATTAGCTTTTTAATAGCATTCTGCAAGGAAATACCATTAAACATTTTGCAAGGAAATATAATTAAACATTTTGTTGAGTTCATTAATAATATTGTGATCCTCTTTAATGACATTGAAAATAACACGAAAACTGGCACACCTTGTTGTTTAACATTTGTCCATGACTGTTCACAGAACCATGTGCCATGTTTCTAATTGCGCCCGGATAAGAAATTTCAGGGTTAACAGAGATCGGATTATCCATATCACTAGATTTGATTTCTGAGTTATTGCTTGTCGTAGCGTTAACATTAGAAGTACGAAATTTTGGAAATTTTATACATCCACGAAAATTTGCAGTGTGCCCAGTTTGACCACCATTTCACTCTCCAGCACACTCGGCTTGAGTTTACAAGTTTCTGAAGAATGGTAGAAGTGTTGGCAATTTTGGAACTGAGCCATACTCCCTCTGACTTTATACGGAACTACTGAAATATAAAAATACAGAAATTTTTTCATCTCATAAAATTCGTTCATAGCAGGGACAATCTTTAACTGAACTTGATGCAGTGTCATGGGGTTTTCGGTTCTTTGCCTAAACATCCGAGCTACTTTCGTAATAGTAAAACATTGTTCATCAGCTCATCCTGATTTCAGCAACAGGCGTATTCATTGGTAAATCTATAGAAACCACCTTAAGTGGTTTTTGTAAATTATGTAATGGTCAGTCTTTTTTTCAATCAGATGTCTAGAAATGATGCTGTGATCCTCCTCAGATTTAAATAATACTTTCAGGAAATATCCGTTAATACGGCCAGTAAAGTCAGAATTCGTATCTTCTTAAGAAAATCCGAAAATCTGACCCTGGTTATACCATAATCGATTTAGTTTTGGGATGCTGCATAATTTTAACAACTTTATTATGACCCTTTCGGGTAACCATCAAATCGTTACTTGCATTGTTTCTTAACTTCAACATTAACCTCAGAAAGTTCACTGAATTTATTCTAAAATGGTAAATCCACATAGGATTTTAGAATCATAGTAGGCTTAGCCGTATTTCTCGGCATAACAAAGCCATTAGGAGTTACAGAATCATTAAAGCGTTTTTTTTTTTTTTTCCAAGTCTTTTCGACTTTTACTATTACCAGGTACAGGAACATTAACTACGCTACTAGCACTATTTTTCACATTACTAAAAACAGAAACATTATCCAAAGGAAGGTTGCAAAAATCAAAACTGCAGTCAAGGTTAACATCACTAGAAGAGTCTATGCTCCTTAGTGTATGGTACAAGACATTAAGAGAATTATTAGAATTATTGTTGCCACCAAGAAGTTCACACTTACCTTGCACATGGGTGAGAATACTTTGATACTTACACTAACTAATATAGATATCCAAACACATGGCTTTACGCTCCGGTGTCGTAAGTTTCTCGAAAATTCTCTTAAAACCATCAAAGTCCGTTTGCATCTTGTCTTTTGGTCCTAAAAGCAGCACTAGATCCGAAAGATTGTAAGAATTTTTTGTTGTAAATCCGTATAAATAACACCAAATTTTTCAGCAATATAGTATGAGTCTTATTAACCACACGCGGTCGTTTATCATCTTCCGAAATAGGCTAAAGACGCACGTGGTCGGCGCTTTCCTTCGCTGGGAAAGGAGGAAGCTGGGGTATATTTATAACGAAATCCAATGAACAATAATCACAAGACCACTATAAAAGTACGTCCTACCCACGAGACAGCTGAGGGTGGAAAATCCAGTGATGAGTACTTTGATACTTTGTTTCTGTACTGGTGTACAGCAGCGGATGATTTTTCCTGCTCTTGCCAATTTTAGAAAGAAATCCCTAAGATAGGCCTGACATCTGAAGAAACAGACGAGGGAAACAAAGAGCGAGGCGCTTTTCTTCTTCGCAAAAGACTGGTTAAGGCCAGAAAGCTTTATCGGGTGGTCACGTGAGTGTGGTCTTCGAGTCAGGAGATCTGTTCGTCACATGATCGTTGACATCTAATGACATTTTGTGAGAATAAAACAGCAATCTAGCGAATTGAAGGTGGTCAGAGTTGCTGTGAAGGAGGTTGTAATAAAATAGAAATTAGAAATTAAAAGGGCTATTGTCAATTAAGTTACTAATATGATAATAATTTTTCTTCATATTTTATATTACATATATATACTTTTCATATTGTCGATTACAATAAGAAAGGGAGGTGCACAACTAGATCTTATAGCAGCCTCATATACAAAATTTCAGCGTTCCACAGCTAATCATTTTTGAGTTATACGAAATACATACTTGCGTACGCATATATAGATGTCACGAAAAAATTCCCTTTTGAATCCATTTGACGATCCGTTTTGGAAAAAAGTTTTTTTATTCTGTCCGTAAGTACAGACGTCACGCAAAAAACAAATAGTCCCAATGGATATTTCTGTTGAAATACGATACCCGAAAGTTTTCGCAATTGCAACACTTCCGTCAGTTTGCACAAACAAGTAAAAAGAGAGAGGGGAAGGAAAAAGGGGAAAAGAAAAAATAAGTAAGTCCTAGTTAGTTAGTTCAAGTAGCATTTCATTATTTCACAGAAATTTATTTTTTAACTTTCCAGGGCGGACAACCCGAGTGATCCACCTTCTGTAAGAGTGGCCAGAGATTTCGAAAGAAGAAATATTCAGAAGTGGTTGCAGAATTATAGATGAATTCAAGAGATATATTCGTAAATAACTCCAGGAATGTAGATGAATTTTAACTAGTCTTTGAAATGTGCTCGTTCAAGTACAGATTCTGTTCTCAAATACGTATCAGGAAATATATTTTTGATGTTATAACATTTTATAATTTAGAAGTGTTATGAAAATGAATATTATATGAATACTTTATATAGGCTAAAAACACGTGAGAATATTACAAATTAATTAATTTAATAAAATATGCTTTTGTCAATGAGGTATTAGGCTTTTATTTGGAATGTACTGTATTTTGCTTGCAAATAATTTATAATAGTAAAAATTAATAAAGATGATATAATGCATTATATTTCTAATGTAAAAATGATGATACTAGAAATACGATTTATTTTAATGTAAAATGAAAAAAAGTAATAAAAATTCAATTTTTCTCCAACGTATTAAAAATTATTTCTAAAATTACGCTAATCAGAGAAAGAAAACAACAACATAAGAGTTAAGTGTGTGAATTGCAATTCATAAATACTGAAAGTTTTATTTGTTCATTTTTAATTTAAAGCACACAAGAGCTCTCTGCCTATTCGTGAAGAACTTTGTGTGGTATGCATTTTCGTATTCTTATTGCACAAAGGAGAAATCATGACTCAAACAGAAACTCAAACCTTAATCGCTAAGATTCGAACTCAAGCCGGGTAAAAATATATTTACAGGCGTCCCTTGGCGAAAATTGGCGATTTTTGGAGGTACATGGAAGTGGAGTTTGTGCAATTCTTTGACTCGTTATTTTGACTTTGTGTAGCGGCGATTTTTGCGCCAAATTCGCCACTACACAAAGCCAAAATAACATGTCAACAAATTGCACAAACTCGGTATCCATGTACACATCGACCTATTTTCGCTTAAAAAAACATCAGGGAGTTCCACAAACTTGGCATTGCGCACTCCCTTGACTTTGTCCATATACACATCGATCCATTTTCACTTAAAATGTCAAAGGAGCAGCCAGCAAAAAATATATAATCTCAATAAACTACATATTAAATTAAACAATCAAATAAACATAAAAAAGGAAATTCATCTTAGCGCTACACAAAGAAAATATCCACTTACCTTATTTAGAAATTTCCATTCAAACAAAATTCCTTAATAGCATCCAAAAACTTTCTAAAATTATCTGAACTAGAATCTGTATACTGGCGTCGCCACATAAATTCACGAAGATAAGCGTCAAAAATATCTTTTCTGTAGTACTGGTATCCTCCGACGTTCGGCCATACGCATTTCCTTCCTACAAACAGGACACTTATAATGGCTACTAAGTAAACCTCCTTTTACACACCAGTCAATTAAAGCTCTTTTCCTCTTTCGTTCCAAATATTACCACATTCAGCCCTTTTACCGTCTAAACCATAAAACAAACAACGAACTTCCTAACCAACACACACCACAAGCCCTTAAAAATCTTTCTCCATGATTCAAATCCAATGCAATCACGCAACGAATTACGTCATAATAGGGTTTCCATAGCATTCAACTACTGAGGTTACCATAAATGAAACAACTTGGCGATAAATCAAACAACAACTTAGCGATAATCCAAGGGCACCCTTAAATCTACTCTAACCCCAAGCTGAATTACGACAGTTCGCCGCACACACAGAGGTTAAGATGAGACAAATTCGCTTTTACAGAAATACTCTGGGAAGGCACCGTGGCCCGTTACAAATAGTGCCGAGATAAGTCGATCGGAGGAAACTTTGTGGTAAAATATATTGGCTCTCTTCGAGATAAATTAAAAATAAATTATGAAAATTTTCTATGTTTTCAGAGAAAATTTTCCAAGTGGGACAAAACTTGAGAATAATGATAACCCAGTCTATTTCTCTTACTCATTAAATTTTTTTTTGACGTATAAATAAAAATACGTATGTTGTATGTAAATAATTATAAACTTCTTTATTTCTTACAGCAGCTCGAAACTTTGGTGGCGTTTCAACACTGATAAAGTTCGTAACTTTGCAGAGAAATCATTAGAAATTACCTTCATCACAGACTGTAGCAGCCCGTCGGTCAATTGCGTAAACTTTTTTTTTTTTTTTTTTTTTTTGATTAATTTAGAACTGCAGAAAACATCTATTCACATATAAATGCATACGCAAAGAAAACGATTTTTCTTATTGCACAAATTCATAATTGAGTATATTTATTTTTTGACTAGTAGTAAAAAAGTTAAAATCTGTATCTTCAGATATTTGAATAAGATTCATATCACTCTGAAAATTAATTAGTTCCGTTTAGAGGTTTTCTGGAGCAACATTCAAGTTTATTTTAATGGTAATGAAATTAATGTAAACTCGGCTTTCAAACAATTAAAATCTTGAAGTCTCTGAAACATCATATTTGCACTAAATACATGATTAAAATATATTTGGAGGCCACTAGCTTGAGACCACTATTTTTATTGATAGTTTAAAAAAAATTGTCGCATAGATTTTGATTTTAAAGTGTCATATATTGTAACGGTATTTACTATTAAAATTGCAGTACATTTAATCTGATAATAAATTAATTCGGACTTCAGAAGCTCGCCTGAAGTTGTTCTTTTCAGAACAAGTTCAAGCGACTGCATCGTATTTCATCGTATTTAATTAACTGCATCGTATTTTATTCTGTTATAAGTCTGTCGGGTTTGTAATGAGCTCGGATTGTTTATTCAATGGCTATATGCTACCTTTGCTATGACGATGACGGTTTTAAATTTATTCCACGGTGAAATTGCGACGAGGTTTTTGTTTACGCTCCTAGGTCTTAAAAATACTTTTTCTACTTTTTAATCTGATTGATTTAAATAGCAATGCGTTTAAATCGTGATAGGTCTAAATATAAACATGAAATACTTTTATGAAATTACGCTAGTTGACCTCATCAAAATGCATTATATATTTTGTTTTTCTTATAATAATTATCTCCGGCTAGCGTGCGGTTATTTATTAAAGGGAGTAATAAAAGTTTTAGCATAATCCTTATAAAAACACTTTTGGTGAACTATCTTTATTATCATACATGGAAAATGAAACTAAAAAGTAAACTAATTGAAAATTTTTCTGAATTCAAGACAAAATAAATAACTCCGAACAAAGAAACTTACAATAATGAATGATAGATGTCTGGCCGTTTTCTGATTACCAGAAGACCGTTTTCCTTATCTCAAAGAAATACCATATTTATCAAGAGGCGAAATTAAGGCTTCGAAGATATAATAAATTAGAAGAATAAGGAAAAGATACAACTAATTTATAGAAATAACTTGAGGTCATGAAGATAAGATGCCCAAAATCGACGCTATCACGCGGTCGCCTCTATCACATGCTGTGTCATGGGCCTATTCCACATGCTGCAATAGTATAATGCCAGAATATGATGGCCTTGGACCCATCTTGGTCGAACATTTGATAAATGTGTGTAGATTTTGTACTAACATGAAACACAGGTAGACGTCCGAAGCGAAAATTTAGCTAAAACTGGTTTCTTTACAGCTCACGTGGGAATATCTAGCAGAGATATCTGAAAAATTAATTTCATATACCAAATATAGAAAAAAAGAAATAGATAAGAAAGAAAAAGAAACTCTGAAAGAATTCAGATTTTAACATCCCACCAGAGGATATGTTAAGGTTTCTTGTGCACTCGTGCAGGCAAATATTTTTTAGCCCAAAAAGGCTATTAGTCTCGAATTAGTCTTTTACGTCAAATTACTTCCGTTGTCCGTTTCGATTTTTAAATAACTAGCAGTCTAAGATTATTACTATAAAAAGGAAAACAAATGTGAAATGCTTTTAAGTCAGGCTTCAAGCAGTTAGTGCCATTTCACAGATGCAGCTGCTAATTATACAAGAGATAAAGAACTGCATTTATCTGTTTTTTAAATTAAAATAACACTTTGAATACCGATTATTGCAAGAGTTAAAGCAACAAGAATCAGAGTAATATTCATAGACTAGTTTCGAAAGCTTAAATATAGAACCTTCTTCTTCAGCTTCAAAAATGGAAAAAAAAAAAAAACCGAAAAGAAAATTTTCACTTCTGCAGCTGAAGAGGAAAGTTGTACATTTAAACATTCGAAACTAGGCCTGAAAATTTATGGAAAATTAAACCGATTATTGTTTCTTTAACTTTCTTGGAATAACTACATTTATCGTTTTGTTAATCAACAGCGGGCAGATTAAATTAAAAATAAAAACCAAATAACTTAAGCTTTGCCAAATGGCAACAAACTGGAGCGTGGAAGTTAGAAATATTTTATACTTAAGGATTTTTCAAATGTTTTGACAAGTGCCAAAACATATGAAAAGATGCAGGCACAAAAGTAATACGGAAAAAAAATGAGGATCGAAATTAAAAAAACACCACATCTGGTGCTTAAAAAAACCTTACGTATTGTTTTAGCTACACACTTTATTAAACAAGCCAGTTATTTATTCTAAAAGATCATTCATATGATAAATGAGATACGTATTTTTTATAAAAACTTGAATAATTATTTTTAGCAGGAAGTTTCCTTTCACTTTTTTAAAGGTTTTAATGGGAAAAAAAAGACAAGAAAAAGAAATCAATAAAATTTGCAGCGTGGGTAATTCATCAGGTGAACAGATGTAAATACATTTTCTCCATTTCAATTTCTTTCATAACTAAATTTAAAGTCTTTTTAAAAATGAAATGAAGCATTTAAAAGAAATGAAAATGTGTCTTTTAGAATATTCAGATTTCATTAAATTTTTTGCGAAAAATTTTGCTTCAGATATTTACAAAACTTACCACAGTTAATCAGCTTAGATATAATTCCCTAAAGACGATGCAATAATTCAACACAAAAGGCATATTTGTCGACGAGAATTTTAATGCGTGTGTTAGCGTAGTATGTATGAGTTATTTTGGCATAAGATATCTGAAATAGAACAGTAAAACGTTTCATTCAGAGTTTCTTGGAAGTTAAAGGACGGAATTCCTCAGCCCATTAATTGAAACGCTTCGCGATAACGAACCCAACTTTGTGACATTTTGCAACAGAGACTGCTCATTTGCGACAGCGATTGAAACCCCACAGCTTGCATGTGATGCAACATTTAGTGCCAAATTTTATAATGGCATACAAGAAATATTGCAAGTCGATGATTTTTACCACTTAGTATAATGTTCAGTGACGAAGTGACGAACGTTCTCCTTATGCGAATGATAAACCGTCAGTGTCCGGATATGAAG